AATGCATATAAACTGTCTAGTAGGTAATACACTTTCAATAACAGAATCATTCTTCAGATCTTAGTTTTTGAAGACAAGGCAAAGGAGTTGATAACTTCATATGCTAATACATGCTTCATATTTCCTTCCCAGCGTGCTTTAAATTCTGTTGAAATCTGCAAACTAGTACAGCCACTATGGAGAACAGTGTGGAGATTCCTTAAAAAGCTGGAAATAGAACTGTCATATGACCCAGCAATCCCACTCCTGGGCATACACACTGAGGAAACCAGATCTGAAAGAGACACGTGTACCCCAGTGTTCATCACAGCATTGTTTATAATAGCCAGGACATGGAAGCAACCTAGATGCCCATCAGCAGACAAATGGATAAGGAAGCTGTGGTACATATACACCATGGAATATTACTCAGCCATTAAAAAGAATTCATTTGAATCAATTCTAATGAGATGGATGAAACTGGAGCCCATTATACAGAGTGAAGTAAGCCAGAAAGATAAACACCAATACAGTATACTAATGCATATATATGGAATTTTAAAAGATGGTAACGATAACCCTATATGCAAAACAGAAAAAGAGACACAGATGTACAGAACAGACTTTTAGACTCTGTGGGAGAAGGCGAGGGTGGGATGTTCTGAGTGAACAGCATTGAAACAAGTATACTATCAAGGGTGAAACAGATCACCAGCCCAGGTTGGATGCATGAGACAAGTGCTCAGGACTGGCGCACTGGGAAGACCCAGAGGGATGGGATGGGGAGGGAGGCGGGAGGGGGGATCGGGAGGGGGAACACATGTAAATCCATGGCTTATTCATGTCAGCATATGGAAAAAACCACTACAATATTGTAAAGGAATTAGCCTCCAACTAAAAAAAATAAATGGAAAAAAACAACAACAACAACAAAAATTCTGTCGAAACCTAAGACCATTGTCCTTGGGCCTATTTCATTACTCAAACAGAAATGAAAAAGATCAGATCTGAGATCGTACCATCTGATTTTAGTCTGTTTAATTTCTTTTTTGCTTCTTGATGCTGAAAACAGTACCAGAATGTAGCACACAAGTTCACAATTTAGGCAGCCTCTTTCCTTTTATCTGTTTTGCTTATTCTGCAACACGGTCTCCCACATATCTTAAGTGGAACAATGTGTTTCCATGACCCACAAAAGTTGAGTTCAAATCCAAGGAGATGAAGTGTTAAGAGGCAGATAGGACTGGTCTAGGGTGTAGACCAGCATGGGCAATGTGGGAGATCTGGACCTTGCACCTAGTAGAAGCAGGATACAAATATCTGCAGAAGGGAGGAAGGGAGGAAAGAGTGTGGGGAGCAGAAGGAAGGGGGGAAGGAAAGATGGAGAAAGAAAGTGGGGAAGAAAAAAAGGATCTTGTGAGGAATGAACCACAAGTAACGCTTATTGAATGCCAAATGGCTAGACAGCTGGAAGGTTCTCTGGGAGAGGGCCCTTCCTAGAACCCTCCCTCTTGGATGCCTCTGGGCTGTTTAGGAGCTGGGTTCAGTTCAGTTCAATTCAGTCGCTCAGTCCTGTCCAACTCTTTGTGATCCCATGGACTGCAGCATGCCAGGCTTCCCTGTCCATCACCAACTCCCGGAGCTTGCTCAAATTTATGTCCTTTGAGTTGGTGATGCCATCCAACCATCTCCTCCTCTGTCACCCCCTTCTCCTCCTGCCTTCAATCTTCCCCAGCATCAGGTTCTTTTCCAATGAGTCAGTTCTTCGTATCTGGTGTCCAAAGTATTGAAGCTATCAGTCCTTGCAATGAATATTCAGGACTGATTTCCTTTAGGATGGACTGGTTGGATCTCCTTACAGTCCAAGGGACTCTCAGGAGTCTTCTCTATCACCCCAGTTCAAAAGCATCAGTTCTATGGTGCTCAGCTTTCTTAATAGTCCAACTCTCACATCCATATATGACTACTGGAAAAACCATAACTTTGATTAGATGGACTTTTGTTGGCAAAGTAATGTCTCTGCTTTTTAATATGCTGTCTAGGTTTGTCATAGCTTTTCTTCTAAGGAGCAAGCGTCTTTTAATTTCATGGCTGTGGTCACTATCTGCAGTGATTTTGGAGCCCCCCAAATAAAGCTGGGAGCTAGTACTCTATTCCCAGAGTTACCTGCAACAGAGTTCATTGTTCGTAAGTTTCTTGGGATCAGGGTGGGACAGATTGACTTCTTTTTCTATTAAGTGTGAAGCCACAGCCTCTCCAACCATCCAGAAAGAGCAAAGTTTAGGGCTTGGAATGGGAAAGGGGAAGAGCTATGCACCAGAGGGAGAAAAGGGGATCTTGCAAGGATGTATGCTCCCCCCTATGGGAGGCCAGTGCCCAGTTTGTGCATTAGGGGAGAAATAGGAGTTATAACCACCCTTCCCGGGGGCCCCCCCATCCCCCGGGCCGCTGATCAGCATATACGTCTGCTGTCTTTACAGTGGAGAACTTCTCTCAGCAGATAGAGGGCCCCAGCTCTCTCTTCCTCTGGGCTAAGCAGGGACTGACTCCACTAGTAAGCCATCAGCAATCCTTCCCTACTGATTATCCCTTCACATGCTCTCATCTCTCAAATGAAAAAGAGAGAAAGGAATCTTCTATTGTCCCTACTCATCCCTCCCATTTCACTCCACTTCTGTTCCCCTTTACAGTGAAACATCTCAAAACAACTGCCTCTACTATGCTGTCTCTACTTTAACTCCATTTTCCTCGCCTAACCTGTTTCATCAAATCCTTCCACTTCCCTTTACAAGCACCAGCCTAATAGAAACCACCATCCACTTTGATAGGGATTATTAGGAAGCATCCTAACTAGTTTTCCTGTTTTGAGCCTCAGTCTCCTCTGAATCTTTCTCCACATGGTAGTCAAGGTGAGCTTTTAAAAATACAAATTGGACCTGGAACACCACTCAACAGTAAAAGAGAGCAAACTTCAGACACGCACAACTTGGATGACTTGTAAGGGAATTAAGCTGAGTGAAAAAACCAATCCCCAAAGGTTACACATTGTATGACTCATTTACATAACATTCTTAACATAACCGAATTATAGAAATGGAGTACAGATGAATGGTTGCCAACAGCAAGGAACTGCATGGCGGGGGGGGGGGGGGGGTGGTGGTACTGGGGAGGTGGCTGAGGCTACAGGAGCAACAGGTTAGATTCTTGCAATGATGGAAGTATTTTGTATGCCAACTGTAGTGGTGGATACGTGAGTCTACAAGTGATAAAATCATGATAAAATTGGATAGAATTAAGTACAAATAAGGTTTCCCTGGTGGCTCAGTGGTAAAGAATCTGCCTGCCAATGCAGGAGATGTGGGTTCGATCCCTGGGTCAGGAAGATCCCCTGAAGGAAATGTAAACCCACTCCAGTATTCTGCCGGAAAAAGTCCCATGGACAGAGGAGCCTGGTGGGCTGCAGTCTATGGGGTTGCAAAAGAGTTGGACACGACTTAGCGACTAAACAATGGCAAAGTACAAACAAAACCAGGGAAATAATAAGATTGGTAGATTAGACTAATGTCAATATTCTGTTTTTATGATTTTGTACTTATGATCTTGCATCATACAAGGAGAAACTGGGTAAGTACCCAGTAAAAAATACATGGGATTTCTCTGTATTATTTCTTAGAAACATGTGAATCTACAATTACTCCCAAAGAAAAAAGGAACAGAAAAGAAATATAAATCAGGTCATGTCATGCTCCAGGGGTAAAGCCATTCATTCACTGGCCTTCCATTGATTTTGGAATAAAACGGCCTGTCCATTGACTAGAATGCAGTCCAGGATCTGGTCCCTGCCAATCTATCCAGTCTTATGCTGCTCTCCCCAGCTCTTCTGGTGCTGATCACAACCACCACCTCTTAGTCTTAAGGAGGTAAGATTTGCCCCTCCTGGGTTTCATACGTCTGCTTCCTCTTTCTGCAAGGCTTTCTCCTGGCTCTTCCAATAGTTGCCATTTTATAAGTTTCAGGGCTCGGCTAAATGCCACCTCCTACTTTCCTAACCACACAGTTTGCACCCTCTTTTTTCCCTGCACAGGCCTAATGCCAAATTTGATTCTCTCACTTCTTGATCGCCTGCCTTCCCCACTAGATTGCCAGCTCCCAGGGCAAGTGGAGGGTGTTCTGCTTGACTTTGCCCCGTACCCTGAGCGCCTGGCAGAGTGCTTGGCACACGGTGAGGGCTCAGTAAACCGAATGTTGAGTGAATGAATGAGTAGCCACGTGCCGCTCTGCCATCGGTGCTTTTCCAAATGATGTAAAGCCCTCTGTATGGTGGCTTTGGGCTCATGGTTGGGGATCCCTTCCGCTCCCTCCGGCCGATTACTAAGGGGAAGGGTCGCCGGTGGGTCCTCTGGCGTCCCTCAGAACCACGGGGCTCCTGCAGTCTGGGGCCAAATCACGGTGCGCCCCGGACCCCGGCCGCTTTGCAGGGGGTGAGCAGGTTAGCTGGGGCCCCGGGTGACGCCACCTTCGCTCGACTCCCTTTGTTGCTCCCACCTCCCAGGCGCCGGCCGCGGCTGCCTGCAGTGACTCGTGACTCCCCGCCGGCCTCGAGGGCTGTGGCGCGAGGGAGGGAGGCGGGGGGCTCGAGCGCCCCCAGCCCGCCTTCCCCTCGCTCTCCCGCCCCGGAGCCGGCCCGCCGGGGAAGCGGTCGCCCCCGCCTCCTCGTAGCAACCTTCCCCGCGAGCCCGCGCCTTGCAGTCGGCGGCCGCTCCCGAGGCGGGGGCACGTGGCCGCGCGTGGTGCGTGGCGCCCCCGCCCCGCCCCGCCCCCGGCCGGGCCGGCTCCGGCGCGCGCGCGGCGCACCGCAGCCCCGCGGGCCGGGCCCCGGCTGGCGCGCGCCCCGCCCCGCCCCCGGCCAGCCGCGCTCGCCCCCGCCCCCGCGCGCGCGCGCCCTCCCTCCCCGCCTCCCCCGCGCGCCCCTCCTCTCGCGCCCCTCCCGCGCCCTACATCCACCGCCCGGCCGAGGGGGCTCAGTCCGCAGCCTCCGCCGCCGCGCCTCCGTTTGGGTGCTGGCAGCGGCCGCCGCCGAGACAGCCGCGCGGGCGAGCATCCCCAGGCAGTAAGCCCGCTTTCTCTCCGCGTGTGAGTGCATGCGTGTGTGCCTCCCGCCCCCGTGGGCCCGCGTCCCGGGGGAGCGGCTGCCCTCCTACCCAGCCGCTGCCCGCGGGTTGGCCCCCGGGGCGGGTAGCTGGGGCCTCGGGCCTCGACCGCCCGGCCCTGGGTGGGGACTGCGGGCCAGCCGGCCGCGGGGTCCCCTCCCCTGCCCTCCCGCCGGTGCGTGCCTCAGCCTCCCCTCGGTTTTCGGGCTCTCGTCGCCGGGGTGGCGGGTGGAGGGGACCGGGAGCGCTTGGAGGTGGAGGGAGCGCGAGGGAGGAGGGGGTTCTCCCCATTTTCCTCTGCGGAATGGTGGGGCGTGGGGACCGAGGGTATGGGGGCCCTGGGCTTTCTGCCCGGGGATGGAGGGCAGTGGGGGTGGGGTGAGGTAGGGGGCACCTCTCGATTCCCTCAACGAGGATAGCTAGCTGGGGTTACGGAGAGGGGTAAAGATGAAGTTCGGGGGTCCCCTCGGTTTTCTTGAGGGTGGCGAGGATGGGGAGGACGGGAGGGAGGGGGAACCTGCCTCGGTTCGCACTACGAGGAGGGCGGGCGGGAGTGGGCAAGGGAAGGAGTAGAGGTGAGGGGCTCCCAGGGTTTTCTCGTCGAAGATGCTGGGGGATGGTTCGAGGAGTGCAGAGGGAAAGAGGAGGACACGGAGGGCCCGCTCTGGTTCTTCTCTTAGGGGGTGGCGGGAGGTGGGCGAATGGGGGTGGGGAGAGGGGGATTTCAGCTCCGGTGCGAAACCTAGAGAAGCTGGAGGAAGGTTCTGTAACACGGGTTGAGTCTTAGGAGGTGGATTTTCAAAACTGCAGGGTGTGACCTTTCCGTCTCAAAAAGCGTGAAACCCCTACGAGGTGCCGTCTGTTCTAGGCGCTGGGAGAGAGGTTGCTGCTTTCGAAGTTTCTCTTTTCTCTTCCATTCCTTGCGGCCTCTTCGCAGGCATCCAGGACTAGGTAGAGATTTGGAAATCGGTAAGGGAAGACTTGTGGTTTGTGTTCGGCGCTATATGATTTTCTGCGTTTGAGACTGTACATGTTTCTCAGGTTTGTTTTTATTGCCCTTTACAATGCAAACCCTGTACCAGCGAGACCCCTTGGGGAAAGAAAAGAACAAGGTTTATTAAGGGGATTCCAGGTTTGGTTTTTGAATTTCCTGAAGTGCGAGAGATACGTCGTTGTAGTATTTTCCTTGGCTTTCAGAAGACGTAGAAATAGAATTAAACGTACGTTTTTGCTGGAAGTCCCCTATATTCATTTAAATTGTTCCATCGGGATTGTCTGAGCCCCCTTTGATTTGAATTTGGAGTAGAGCCAGTTTTCCTAATTGGAGCCATCATTTTGTAATTGCCTGTAATTCTTCCCTGGGTTATCAAATCTATGGCAAGCTTATAGAGCAGCAGGAATAATTTTTTTTTCGTTATCTTGATTAAGACAGTTTTAATGTAAATTTTATGTTGTTCCTTGGAAATGTGAACATTTGCAGGATAGCATACATTTAAATTATGAGCCCCTTGGAATTTTGCGAAGCCTTTTCCTCCCCAGCTCATCTCCAGAAACACAACAGAATCCTCCCCATTCTTTACACTGAGGAAGCAAGGGCTTCTGGGATGGTTGCTTTGCTTTTGGAAACTCATGCTCATATTTGTTTAGGAAGAATACGCATTGAAAAGGCTCAGGCCTTTAATGTGGTGAGGCTATATGTGCTTTCCCATTTTGGTTACATAAGGTTCCAATCTAGTCTTTACCTTTAGTCTTTAAAAATGCTTATTTAACATTTTTAAGAGCAAATATAATCTTTATGCAACAGGAAGCTGGTCAGATATACCATGATTTGTGCAAGCCACCTACCAATAAGTATATAGTCTTAAGAGTACCATACAGATTCTGTAACTATATCTGGTTTTTGAAATTCTGAGCTACCATTCCCATATTGAATTTTTGGAGAAAGAAAACTTTTTTTTTTCAACCAAGTCTAGATTTTTGAGTGAAAGTTTAAAAAACTGGTATACGATTTAAACTGGTAAAATTCCCCTTATATGATACCAGGAAATTGAAGCTAACTTAATGTGTCCAACTAATGGACCACTCAAACAAGATAACTTATTTGTGTACTGGAATTGATAAACTGGAAATGTTTTAAGTGGAAATAGAGGTTTTGGTCTCAAAGATGGACGGGAGTACATTTAAATGAATACTATTATTTGCACCATTTCTAATGTTAATGTGATATCCAATTCTATACACTGGTCAATGATCTAAAACTAATACATTAAAAGTGCAGTTTAAATCTGGTATTTTCTCATGCAAATAAAATGCTGGGAGTGGTGAAATTTTTTACAGAGAGAAGCATGTGATGGTGGTGGGCCCTAGAATTTCTCTAGACAAAATGAGTAAATGAAGTGTCTTTTATCCAGCTTTTTGAGAATGTGTTTTTTGCCCTGCAGGACTGGAGAAGGAAGAGAAAAAAAGTAAACTTCAAAAATTAACAAAAATATGGTCAGATATCTTTCTAAATATTTTTTTTTACATTTATTTGGCTTAGTTGTGATATGCAGGATCTTTCGTTGCTGCTCTAAGGCTTAGTTCTGTGGCATGTGGGATCTTAGTTCCTGACTAAGGATCTAACCATGGCCCCTGCAGCAAGGCGGATTCCTAACTACTGGACAACCAGGGAAGTTTCTCTAAATATTCTTAAATTTTTTGCTTTATCCATTTGTAAATCAAGCCTCCAGATTAATTTAAGACCTTGACTCTCACCTCTATAAAGTTTTGACCTTAAAGAAAAAAAGAGCTCTTCACTGAAGGATGGCCGTTAACCTCCTGAGGCTGACCCAGCCCTGTTTTCCTGCTTCCCACCTCCGGGTTCTCTTCTTTCTGTCTTGTGCCAACTTTTATGACCTTGTGGGAGTTGAACAAATGTTCATGCTTGCTTGAACTCTAGTCCTTATCTATTTGGCTGCTATCCCCAACTTTTACCTACAAAATTTTTTTTGCTTAATTGAACTTTCCAGTTGTTTGGGTTTGGAGTAAAAGGGAGTAGACTATAATTATTTTCTCTTAAAAGATCTTTTCTTTCAGCTCCTGTTGGACAAGAGCAAAGGAAGGTTCTTTTTTTTTTGTCAACAGAGTACTTAATTAAGCAGACTATATGGCCATTTATTTATTCAACCAACATTTGCTGAGTTACTGCCTCTTTTGGAGGCTCTGTGCTAGGTACTCTGCTAGATGCACAGCAGATAAGAAATGGCTCCTGCTTTCTGGTGCAGTTATTAAAATGAAAAATAGACAGTGAAGTCATTGTGAAAAATCGAGAGTTGTCCAGAGTCTTTTGGACTGGACAGTAAACATGCTACAGCCCTGCAAACAGGGGAGCCATTTTTTCTGGGGTATTTAGTCACTGCATAAATTCCATCTCACCTTCCCAACGAAGACATAGTCTTGTCAGTTTGGGTAATATGATTTACAAGTCATCTTAAGGTCAATGGCTTTTGAAATTTTTTATGTGATTAGGACATGGCAGATGTCTTGATTTTTAAAGTTCAACATTTTGTATGACTGTATAGAGTAGTGGGGCTTCCCAGGAGGTGCTAGTGGTAAAGAACCCGCCTGCCAGGGCAGGAGACATAAGAGTCATGGGTTTGATCCCTGGATTGGGAAGATCTCCTGGAGGAGGGCCTGGCAATCAACTCCAGTATTCTTGCCTGGAGAATCCCATGGACAGAGGAGCCTGGTGGGCTACAGTCCATAGGGTCGCAAAGAGTCGGACATGACAAAAGTGACTTGGCATGCACGTACAGAGTAGTGAAAACACAAACAGGCCAGCATTCTTTCCTGTGACTTAAAGCAGCTTCTGACAGCAAGTTGGGCCAAAACATTTATCTTTCTATGGTCAACTTTGATTATGGATACCAATGAATGATGGAGCATGGAGGAGTAGATAAAACTAAATAAGTGTGTGAGTAAAACTTTGTCCTCCTGCGGGGCTGCCTCCCAAGTTTTTGAGAGTCCCCATCTGTGGGTAGTTCTAGACCAGTGATTTTGAACTGGGGCACTTTTGCCCCCTAGGGGACATTGAACAGTGTCTGGAAAGAGTTTTGGTGGTCACAGCTTTGGGTATGTCTAGTGGGTAGAGATCAGGCAAGAGGCTTAAACATTCTATGATGCATGGGGCAGCCCCCCACAACAGAGAATCACCTGACCCCGATTGTGAATAATGCTGAAGTTGATGTAATTTCCTGTATGAAACGCAGTAAAACGTAATTTTAGGAGAAAACACTAACAGTGTCTTGATATGAATAAGGAGTTGGCTGAGCTGACTTTACTAGTCTTAAGAGTGACTAGTTCCTGAACATCAATCCAAATAATTAAGACTGATAAAAGCTATCATTTATGGTACTTAACCCTGTGCCAGGCCCCTGTATACATTGTATAGTCACTTCAGTTTTTAAATGAAGAACCAGGCTCAGGGAGGTTATTTGCCTTCGGTCTCACAGCTGGTCACCGTTAGACAGAGACACCAAAATTAAGATTGTCTTACTACTCCTCAGAAGTTCATGGTTTTGAGCACAACATCATACTGTCTCCCTTGTGGTGTGCTCCATTCAAAGTCTTACTTAAAATCAAAATTACAATATGTCCTATATACCATTGAGTTTGCTGAAGAGTAATTAAAACTATGAATGTTAAATTTGATCATATAGAAGTAGCGGGAGAAAGAGAACTGACATTACTTGAAGGCCTACTATACCTCTAGAAAATATGTGAGGGGCTTCCTTGGCGGTCCAGCGGTTGAGAATCTGCCTTGTGTAGTGCAAGGGATGCAGGTTCAATCCCTGGTTGGGGAACTAAGATCCCACATGTCGTGAGGCAACTAAGCCCTCATGCCACAGTGAATATCCTGCGTGATGCAACTAAGTCCTGAGGTAGCCAAATAATTTAATTTTTAAAAAAAGAAAATGTGAATTGAATTTATACCCATTATGTAATTTGATCCTGACAGCAACTGTGCAAAGTGGTTATCGGATGAAGTTGGTTAAGTACACAACTAATAAGCGGCAGAGTTGGGATTTGAACTTCAGTCCTGTAACTAAGCCATTGTCCCTTGCTGCATTCTTTGAAACTTGGGTTGCTGAAAGGGGTGAGGCAAGGAGCCTGCTGCAGAGAGGTGAGTGAGTAGTCCTAGGTAAAAAGTCCTTTCAGGGTTAATGTGTTGTAGAAATGGATTACATCCAGGCAGAGAGTGGAGAGGTGAACTACTATACCTTCCTCAGCTGAGGAGAGTGCAGTTCAATAGG